TCTCTCATCGATGTTTCTAACTCTCTATCCCTCTCCCTTCCTCTCTGTAAAAAATCAATAAAATATATTTTTAAAAAAGAAAGAAAGAAACATCAATGATGAGAGAGAATCATTGATCGGTCCCGATCACTCGGCGCCATCAGCGGGTGCAAGCAGCGGCTGCTGGCTCTGATTGCCCCTGAGGGCTTCTCCACCTCCCCCTGCTCCTGAGGGCCGATCCAGCTGCTGCTGCTCACACCTGCTGACAGCAACGGCCCCACTTGCACCCACTGCTGGTGCTGGCCCCAGCCACTCTGCTTTCAGCGGCACGTGCACCGTCAGCACGTGGGAGCTGCGGCAGGAGCAGGGCTGCCGGCAGACCGGACTGGGGGCCACGGTGGGAGGGGCCCGGTGGGGGGCACGGATGATGGGCCGAGACCCGCCCCTGTGCCTACCGCAGCCTCATGGCCCACAGTTCCTTTCAAGGTGCACGAATTTGTGCACTGGACCCTAGTATATATAGAAAACCCTGAATATTCCACCAAAACAAAAAACTGTTAAAACTAATAAATGAATTTGGTATATTTGCAGGATACAAAATCAGCATACAAAAATCTGTTGTGTTTCCATAAACTTTCTGATAGTTATTAACAAACTATCAGAAAGAGAAATTAAGAAAACAAATCCATTTAAAATTGCATCAAGAAAAATATGTTGGGCCCAGCTGGCATGGCTCAGTGGTTGAATGTTGACCTATGAACCAGGAGGTCCCTGTTTGATTCCTGGTCAGGGCACATGCCAGGGTGCCAGGCTCAATCCCCCAATGGGGGCATGCAGGAGGCAGCCAATTAATGATTCTCATCATTGGTGTTTCTATCTCTCGCTCCCTTCCTCTCTGAAATCAATAAAAATATATTTTAAAAAAAGAGGACAATATGTAGGAATGAATTTAACCAAGGAGGTGAAATGCCTGTACATTAAAAACTACAAGATACTGATGAAAGAAATTGAAGAGGACATAAATAAATGGAAAGATGTTTGTGCTCCTGGATTGGAAGAATTAATATTGTTAAGATGTCCATACTACTCAAAACAATCTACAGATCCAATGCAACCCCTATTAAAATCCCAATGACATTTTTCACATAAAACAATCATGACGTTTGTATGGAACCCCAAAAGACCTCGAATAGCCAAAATAATCTTAAAAGAACAAAGCTGGAGGCACCACGTGCCCTGGTTTCAAACTATATTACAGGCTATAGTAATCAAAATAGTATGATATTGGCACAAAAACAGACACGTAGATCAATGGAACAGAAGAGAGACCAGAAATAGCCCCACACATACTGGTACTAGTATATGATCAATTAAATTTACAACAAAGGAGCCAAAAATAATACAACAGGTAAAAGATAGTCAGTAAATGGTGTTGGGAGACTGAACAGCCACATGCAAAAGGATTAAACTGGCGCTGGCTGGTGTGACTCGGCTGGGCATCGTCCCATGCACTGAGAGGCTGCAGGTTCAATTCCCAGTCAGGGCACATGCCCGGGTTTGATCCCGGGTAAAGGGTGTGGTGGAGGCAGCTAATTGATTTATCACTTTCACATCGATGTTTCTCTCTTCCTCTCCCTTTC